ATTTACACACCTTCCTGAGCCTAGACTGCAGTAGTTGCAGCAACCATTCAACTACTCTAGACCTTCTGTAGTGGCAACGTGTTCCTTAAATATATATTGGAACATTTTTGCAAAACCGGAAGTGCCACAGTTCAACATGTGCAAAAAGTCGAAAATCGGCTCTAGAGGGCGTATTTTTGCATCGATTTTCTTCGGGTTTTCATTTTTACAATCTACCTGTAATTTCTGACCTGATAGCACTTGAAAAATTACGAGATTTGAAAATTCGTCGCTCACTTTTTTCGATCAAATTTTTCGATTTTTTTGCAACTTTTTTGCTTTTGCATCGATTGATCTGAAATTTTAAATGCAAAGAGACTTCACTAATGTTACTAATATGATACAGTCAAATTTTGTATGTCATTTCCACAGGAAAGCGACTGAACTTCAAATCTACTTCCGGTTGAATAACTTCCGGTGTAATTTATGTAGGTCAACAAAATTTAGCTGATCTTTAGCAAATAAAATTGTATGGCCGATTTTAAAATAAAATCCAGACCGAAAGTGATACTTAGGCCGCCATATTGAAAAAAACAAACTTTTGTAAAACTCAAAATAGGGCCTCAGGGTAAATGTTGATATACTCAAATTTGATGTGTATGTATTCCAAAATCGATTGCGCAAAAAATATTGGGAGCCGAATTTTGAATTTCGCTTTTCCTTTTTTGCAACTTCTGGTTACATTTTTTTCCAACTTGAAACACCAACACCATGTGACCTTGACCTTTGATGACCTTGACCTTCATAGGGTCAAAGGTCATTGACCTTGGTTATCATTTGATACGTGTTATGTTCTCTGATGAGAGCAGATTCCTCATCTTCAAAAACGATGGACGGCAGCTTGTATACCGACGATTTGGTGAACGTTTGGCGCCTAACTGTATCCAACAGGTCCGGCCGTTTGGAGGTGGAGGGTTAATGGTTTAGGGTGGCATATGTGGTGACGTCAAAACGAGGCTTGTCGTA